ATAAACAATTTACAAAAAAGGAAGGATGCGTTGTAACGCAGGGTGCGGTAAATAAATTCACTCTTAAAATATATTCTTACCAAAATTTATTTCATCAAATTTTTTTAATTCTTTAAATATTTTTATAAGTAAATAAAATTATATTAATATATTATATTTTAAAAATCAATTATTTTTATATAAATCTTACCTGAATTTATTTTATTTAAAGGGTTTGTTTTTTTATTATTTTCTTTATAAAAAAATATATTTATTATTAATAAATTAGTTTTTTTGATTATTTATTATAAAAATATAATAAAAAATCTTTATTTATTTAAAATAAAAGTATATTTTACCTGTTTCATTATTAAGAACTAATTCTAATTCTGATGATTCTAAATATAATATATATATATATTATTTAGTATATAAAACTAATAAGATTAAAGAAAATTAAATTCATTTTAAAATATATTCTTACCAAAATTTATTTCATTAATTCTTTAAATATTTTTATAAGTAAAATAAAATTATATTAATATATTATATTTTAAATAATAATAAAAATCAATTATTTTTATATAAATCTTACCTGGATTCATCTTATTTAATTGATTTGTTTTTTTATTTTCTTTATAAGAAACACATTTATTATTAATAGATTGGATTTTTTGATCATTTATTATAAAAATAAATATAATAAAAAATCTCAGATTTTATTCATTTAAAATAATTAAAATAATAAGTATATTTACCTGATATTTTATTATTAAGAACTAATCCTAACTCTGGTAATTTTAGATTTAATATATATATATTATTTAGTATATAAAATTAACAATATCAAAGAAATTAAACACATTAAAATATATTCTTACCAAAATTTGTCTTATCAAATTGCTTTGATTTTTTAGATTCTTTAATGCAAGAAAAAAAAGTTAATATTATAATCAAATACTAATAATAAGGTGATTTTATATAAATTTTACCATTATTTTTTTCAGCTTCTTCAATAAATTTGTTAGAAACAAATTTGCTATAGCTATGAATAAATTGGCTTTCTTGATTTTCTAATTAGAATAATAAAATAATTTCAGATTTTTATCTAATATTTAAAATAAAGTTAAAGCACAATTTACCTGAAGTTTTATTATCAAGAGCTAATTCTAGTTGCGTTGATTCATGTAACATAAGCAAATATATAAAGTAATATTTTTTTAAAAAAAACATTTTTTTTTAAATATACTTTTACCTAAATTTATCTCATTTAATTGTTTGGATCCTTTAATGTTTGTAAAAATAATAGTTACTTATTTTAGGCTGTTTGATCACTTTGGACAATTCGAATACCAATATTTACCTTGCATCTCATTATCTATAACTAATCCTAGTTGCGTTGAATCTAATACATTACTTACGTCATAATCTAATGCTATTAATTAAAAAAAAAAATTACATTTAATAAAACAATAAACTAACATCATATTATTATGTATTATTATTACAAACTTACGCCGACAAATTGAACTTTTGTGACTTTTATAACTAGAAATAGGTTGACTTCGTTGTATAATATTCGTAATATAATCGACACTTAATTTATCAGCTTGTGCAAATTTATCATAAAATTCCCCATTAAAATACCATTTTCTAAATGTTTTTTCTAAATCAGCAGCTGAAGGTCTTTTTAATGGATCAGGATCCCAACATTTTACCATTAAATCTACATAGATTTTAGGAATTCCTTTAATAATAGGTGGCCTTACACATTCCGTTACTATTCTTAATGCCAGATCACTATTAAGTTCATAACGTGAAAAAGGATTTTGACCCGAAGACACCGCCCACATGATCATTCCAAAACTGTAAATATCGGAAGCTTTAGTATATGAATTTCCGCGTAAGACTTCAGGAGCAACGAACGGTAACACACCAAAAGCATCAGATTTAGATGATTGTATATTAGCGGGACGACTTAGTCCTAAATCTGCCAAATAGGCTGTACCCTCTTTTCCTATTAAAATATTGCCAGTATGAAAATCATGATGCACAAGATCTACTTCATGAACTACTTTCAATCCACTAGATATTTCTACAAGTAATCTTAATTTATCTTCATTCCATTTAAGAGTTGAAAATTTTTTTTGTAAATATTGATTTAAGCTTCCATTTTCTACCAAATCTATTACAATCATATACGATCCTGAGACGGGATCTTGACTTAAACCATAACACCTAAGTACAGCAAAAAAATCGCTTGAATATGTTGTAGCACATTTTATATGAGCTTCTAATTCATGTAAAAATTCTTTTGTAATATTATCTGAACGACCAAGAGTTTTTATAGCAACTTTTTGTTGACCGGATCTGTTAATCCTTCCAAAATTTCCATTTAACATAGTTAAAGGACCACTTTTCCAAGTTGCGGAATAAACTGTACCAAATCCTCCTTTACCAATTTCTTTGATAATATCAAATTCATTAAAAGGAATCCATTCTATACATTCAAATTCATTTTTTGCTTTAAATTGAAATTCTTTAATTAAATTATCAATAACTTCATGACCGCTTGTCCATTTTGATATATTATTAATAAAATATTTCTTTGCACAATTTTGACACCAATTCCGCTCTGATCGCGTATGACCACAATGAATGCATATTGGTGGTAAAATACTTAAAACTTCAAACACCACCAACCAATACAATTTTTGCATTTTCAACGAAAATAAAAAGTAAGTATAAAGTGAAAGGTTTTTGTTGTAATGATTAACAAACATCTGATAATTAACCGTTGAAAATATTAATAAAAATGGAATTGCAAACCCCATTAAATAGAACATTAATTCCTCATAGATAACGGAAGATAATATCTCAAGAGTCGATTTTGAAGTCATTAATATTGCTAGAAACAATTTAAACAAAATCACCATTATAATTGGTGGAATAATATAATGTACAATTTTAAATATTTTTGACCCAAATTCAGAAATTCCGAGTAAATTATTTGGTGCGAAATCAGATAAAAATGTAAATAATATAATAAGAATAATAGAGCTCACATATATATTGTAGTATAATATTGACAATATGAAAAGAAATATGCAAGAATACGCTTGATGAGGTTTTTTATCACAAAATCTCAAAATCACCCATTGAAATTCTTGTCTTGATAATCGCATTCTATCTGCTTCAGTATACAATATATAAGATAACCCTATTACTATAACTATTAGATCAAATCGTGTATTATTAGTATCTTCCGTGTAAACCCATGCACAACTATCTAAAAACGCAATAAAAAATGCAACCAAAACAAGTTTCCATCCTTTATTAAATATAATAGCTTCTAGCAATTCTTTTAAAATAATTAATGTCATTTCTTTTTTTTTAAGGAAAAAAATTAAAATTAGTGTAGTTAATATCATTTTTATTTTGATTTATCTTTTTTTTTTTTAAAAAAAAAAGAAAGAAAAATTTACGGTAAACGAATTCAATTTATAAAAGAGGGTACACTTATTTACCAAATAAATACATTTGAACGAAAGCGTAAGGATAATCATGTGATCTGATTCTCCATTGTAAATTTATTAAATTTATTTGATTATCAAAATACAGCAAATATTTTGGTTATGGGACCACTAAGCCGATTGTTTCGGTTTCACACAAATTTATTTCGTTATTCCAAATTAAGGTATTGTTATTGAATTCATGATTTTAGTCAAACAAATAAAAAAGAAATCGGAAATTTTCGGCACCGAGTATCATTTTAAATTCCATAATTTCTGGCCAGCTTGACAATATAACAGTTGCATTTAACCATATCACGTGATATGAATTAATCCTATCAGATCTAAGAGATTAAAAAGTTCCAAGTAAATGTAACCTACTGATGTAGGTGGTCCGGGGTGGGTTTAGGGTGGCACTAGTTGGGTCACCCTAAATCTCTTTACAAGCGAGGGTCTGATTTTTTGTTAGATGACAACTGTTTTTGGTAGTTAATAACTTTCTTTTTGATTGTACTACATATTCACTTGCCCGCTTGACATAAAATAAATAAATAAAAATCCAAATGTACAAAACGTTTGATACTTATAAATATTTTTCATTATGAAATTTATAAATTCTTAAGGATACCGATTAAATAATGTAATTTCATAATAGAAAATAAAGAAAATAAGTAATTGTTGTAGGATTTCTATGTATATCATGTGGCCTTCGGCCACATGTTAGATTAGTTATTATAAACATGACTATTGTATATGCTTATGTAAGCACTGGACAATTTTCACGTATGTTATTGATCACTTTATAATAGCGATACACAAATTTTGGTCACTTTATAATTAGCGTTAGTGATATACAAAAATTTTGATCACTTATTCATAAAATAATAAATAAAATACATGAAAAGGTCTCAGTTGCTTACGTTATACATATCCAATAACTTTATTATCAATCATGTTTAATGATAACTGATTTACACTAGGATGCTACTCTAACATGTGCCTTCGGCCACATGATATACATAGCAATCCTTGTGGTAAATCAGTTATAATCTACACTTCCTGAATGTAAATTAATATTAAACATTCAAATTTCAAAAGCAAGCACAAAAACTTTTTTATTTACGTAATATAAACTTTGATAGGTTCAGAGTAAAATTCTTCGTAAAATTCTTCCTTTTTTCAATAAGTCCATTATAATGTTGCAAGGAATTGTCGAATCTGCTATTATTGTAGATCTTAACAACATTCTTTGTAGGCGTTCACATTTGTCGATAACGTTTCACTATTATTTTGAATTGATTGTTGTAAAGTTTACATTGTTGATACTCATGATAAAAATGCAGTCACACGTGATATAATATGATATCCCCAGATTTATTAGAATATAGGCTTATAGGCATTTACCAATACAGAAAACGCGATAAATCGCGTCATATTTAGGAAGGTCGTACAATTCGATCAATATACTATAAAAAAGATTGTGATGTATGTGACGTGAACAATGATGACTTTTCTGTACGGAATCCACCGCCGAGATGATCGAGATGCTTAAATAAAAAACTAAATTTTCTTACATCATCAATCACTCGAACTTCAAATTATTATTATAATGCACTTTTTTAAAATAATCACGAAATGATATCATAATGACTTTTGACAATATATGCTGATTATGTTCAATTTTTTTTTTTTCCTGGATATGCCGATTATTAATAACAATTACTGAAATTGCGCAAAATTCCGAATTTTGTGATATGCAGATCGTACGATAACGTGATAAAACTTTTCAAACTTTTTCATATGCGAAAACTGGGTATAACCGGATTACAACCAAGATTTGAAATAAAATTTTGTTTGTACGCAGATAGATAACAATTACATAATTTAGTTATTTTACATTACACGCAGTTCCATTATTTTTATTATGTGAATTTTAAACAATAAATTCTGGATAATACTGAATTTTTTTTTTTTAAGTGTAACAGGTAAAATGAATACCAGAATTTTGTGTCATTTTTGACAGTATATATATATGCATGTATATATATATTATGAATGTATATATAATATATACAGTATATTTTATATGTATACTATATATACATTTATATCGAAATTAAGCAAACTCGTTATCATACTTGTCACAACTTTTTAAGAAATTAGCCATAATTTTCGAAATTTTCAATCTAAAACCCATATTAAGAATATGCATACAAGTAAGTACATTTGATAGTTCTATGATTCTAGGCGCATACATAAATAAATATAAGCAGATAGATATCACCGAAAGATTTCGATAATTCATTCATTAGATGATGCATGATATGGAACATTTCACACAGCGATGATGCGTACAAATGCCCACATGATGCACACACGAGCATCTATTACTTTATATGATTATGATATATATGATATGATATGTATTAGATTAAGTCCTTAATGAAATTTTTTTACGCACAAACAAATTTCAAGTTTTTTTTGATCAACTTTTCACATGATATTGTTGCAACTTTATTATTGAATTTATTATTTTTTTTTTACGCCTCAAAATTTTTAAATTTAAGCAGTCATCCAAGAATAAATATTTTGGTAGATATGAAAATGAAAGAACAATCGAATGAAAACCAAATGTTTGTAATCTGCAATGTTAACGCCGGATTTGTTCTTTTCCAAGGAAAACTTCAATGAGTCCTTATTTTTCCTAATCAAATTTAGAAAAGATTTACAAAAGTTTTGAAATGAAAAAGGAAAATTTTAATAGTAAACCCTTGATTGAACTTTATATTTCCCACACACTTATAGTTTAATAAGTCACAAGACTAGTTTACAATATATGAGTAAGTGTGAAAAAATGTGAAAATGAAAGGAGTGGTCAATGCTCAGCCATAAAAATAATAATTTTTGATTGATAACGCTCGCACGTTCTTTCAGATCTTTTTATAAACCAACTTTATTTTTCTAAAATCGAACCGGATAAATTTTTCTTACCTTATAATTCCAGAAAAAGATTTCTTTGTTCAAAAAAAAAACCTCACATTTACGTGGTTTTATTCATTTTAGAATAATTTTGAAACATGTTTTTTTTTACTAAGCTTAATTTGTGAATATTTGTTTCAAAAAAATTTTATCTGATAATCTTTATTTTTCATTTATTATTTTTTTTTTTCTTTAGCTAAACTAAGATTGTATTATGTATTATACATACATATAAAAAATAAACTTTTTGATGTATATCAAATGAGTATAATGTTTATGTGCTTTATAACCATCAATTTATACAATTTATATAATTTATATGCACGTTCCATATATCGGCCATATTTTAAATTGTGGATCAATTTCCCGCCAATAAAAGAAAATGTTTTACAAAATTACACATTCGGATATTACATGACATGTACTTAACTTATATATTTTTACTTTATTATATATATTAAATGAAAATCTTAACCATTTTAATTAGTGGCTGGAATCTTTTTTTTCTTTATTTGATTTTATCCGATATACTTAAATTTAAATTATATTATGTGGTAAAACATACTTTCTCGTTACTTTTCGTAACCACATTTATTATAAAAAGAGTACACCCTTTCTCCGACTTTTTTTTTTCTTTGAACCAAAAAAAAAAAAAAAATATAAATAACAAAATAACAAATAACAAATAATAAAAATAAGAGTTAAATCCTCATTTTCTTTCTTTCTTTTTTTTTTTCTTTTTTCTATTGTTTTTGTTTTAAGATAAAAAAAAAAGTATGGCAACTTACGAAACTAATGTTAATAATAATAATGTTTATGAAGAAGATGTTGATAACTCTTCTGAAACATCAAAGGATAATTATTCCTCTTCGGCTTCTTCTTTTGTTGATGAGTCAAAAAAAATCAATTTTGAGGATAACAAAGAAGTTAGAAACCTTTCTTCTTCTAAGCGCAAGAAACGTAATAGTTTTATAAGTATGTTCAATCCTAAAAAGGATGATAAAGAAAAAGAAGAAAAAGAAAAACATTCTGAAGGTTTGGTTCGTTCTCTATCGGGAATCTTTAATAAAGATAAGGACAATAATAAACGTAATAATACAGTTGAAAAGCAGGTCCGTCCTACTTCTCGTACTTCATCTAATAGTGATGCATCAAAACATGGACATGGTTACATTTTCTTTTCTGATGATGATGAAAAACCTGAAAATGATACTACCTCAAAGAAGGGAACAAAATCTAGACAAAATAGTAACGCCGAAAATTTAGAGAAAGACAAATCATCTAAAAAAGTAAAACGTATCAGTGTTAACCTTGGTAAATTTTTTGAAAATAAATCATCTCCAAAACCACAAGATATATTTGAAAATAGTTTTCTTGAACCTGGTGAAACTATGATTAAAAGTCCAAAAAAGGTTCATGGTAATAAAAATAGTAATAATGATATTAATAAAAATAGTAATAATAATAATAATAATAACAATAATGACAATAACAATGTTGAATCCCCTCAAATCGGTAACGGAACTGATAATGTTAATAATCATTTCTCACCTATTAAAAGTACTGATGATAGCCCCGTTGATGATGTTCAATCGACCATTTCATCCACTCAACAAAGTTCCTTTGATGATCAAGAAATTTCTTCCAATAATAATGTTAATAATAAACATGAATCTGAATATAATTCCGGTTCTCCTACTACTCCTATAACCCCTCGACTTATTGTCACACCTATTGAACCCCAATCTGCACCATTCGAGTTTATCACTCATAATTCCAATAAGCTCGAATTTGAAGATGAAAAAGAAGATCAGGTTGATCAGAATAATGCTTTTAATTCTATCATTGGATCGAAACCTTATGAAGGAAAGTCTGTACCTCTTACTATTTCAACTAAAAATATCAAGCCGAACTCAATCACAAATACCATTGAACAACAAAGTGATAGTAACAACACCAAAACGGTAAGCATTATAATAATTACGTTTTTTTGAATGGAGTGCATACAGTATCCATTATTTACATATGATATTTTATAGTTGCAGGAACTTGAAGAAATTAATAAATCCTTGAATAATGTTAAAGAGCAACTTGAAGCTAAAGTTGCCGAAAAAGATGTTCAAATTACTAAATTTAATTCAATGGAACATATTATGCAACAACAAATTGACCTTTCTAAACGTATGACAGAAACGATGCAACGTTTAGAATCGAAAGTTAATGTACAAAAAGACGAAGTTGATGGTACAAGCGTTAGTAAAATGTTTGAAGAAACTATTAAACGTTTAGAAACAAAGATTGATAGACAAAATGATGAAATAATTAATCTAAAATCTATTGTGGGACAGTTGTGCGTAAGATTTATATTTCAAGTTTCATGAATTTTTTCTTTCATTCTTTTCTTTCTTTAATTAACTCTTTTTTTTTATTTCTGCAGGAGTGGGGGAAGTCAACAATTATTATTAACAAATGGAGATGGTTCTCGATTGAGAATAACTCAGGGCGAGAATCAGAATCTAATTATAGCACAACAGGGGGCATTGATTCAAGCCAGTCAATCACAATCACCACAGATTTATTCGAAGGGCACCCTTGTAAGTACATTGGTGGTTAATCCATTATATAACACCATTACCGTATCTGCTAGTATTGCCACGTCGGTCTTGTATGCAGTTTATGTAAGACCTGTTGTCGGCCTCGTTAGCGTTTTGAGAGATGGAATCTCTACTAATTACGAGACCACGGATTGATCTCCATCACGTGCTGCTTCCGACATAAAAAAAAAAACTATCTCTGATAGAGTTGCCGGAACAAATTAATATATAAAAAGATTAAAAGTTCGAAAGAAATTATAAAGCGAATTAAGTGAATGTTAGAACTAAAAAAAAAAAATTCCTGCAAAAAATACATAAAAGGAGCTGGAAAAAAAAAAAAAAAAAAA